TGGCTGTTGGGCACGACTGTTTATATGCGGCGTAGGTCCCACCGTCTGGCACATTGATCGTCGCTCCTCCTCTTCCAAGCTTTCAACGGTCGTCATTGCTTCCTATCTTTGTCGACCTCTATACATATTACACCGTTTTTTAATATAACATCGGGCTCTTGGACCAAAGAATTGCAACGCCTGGTTCACCTCACCACTTCACCGCCCTGGAGATATAACGGACACCGCAACACCAACACCGTAACACCATCAGTACATCGACTGGACGATATAATCATGACGGAAAAGGACCGTGAGGTCCCCGCTGGCTCTGCCACTAATAACACCAATATGGACGTCGAGTCAGGAAGAGAAGGAATTTCACATTGGCAAATGATCACCGACCAGGGCGTGGTCACTCGGGAGATCATCAACTACGACTATGAGGGTGCGGGAACAGAGGAGGATCCCTATGTCGTCGAGTGGATCGACAATGACCCCAGGAACCCCATGACCTGGCCCAAGTCGAAGAAATGGATCATGGCCATCGCCGTAGCAAACTCAGTTCTCGTCGTATCATTCTGCTCGTCTGCCTTCTCTGGAGGTATGTATCACGCGTATCTGGGATTGCAGACATGCCAAAAGCTAATACTTGCCAGGTATCCAACAAATCATGATGGAGTTCAAAGTCAGCCAAGAAATCGTCACACTCGGTGTATCACTGTTCGTCCTGGGATTCGCACTCGGACCCCTCCTGTGGGCCCCCTTTTCGGAATTATACGGTCGCCAGGTTGTCTTCCTAGGAACATACTTCGCTTTCATGGCATTCAACGCCGGTGTTGCTGGCGCAGATTCCATCTACTCACTGCTCATTCTTCGATTTTTCGCCGCCGCCTTTGGATCCAGTCCTCTGACCAACGCTGGAGGTGTTATTGCTGATCTTTTTACTGCCAATGAGCGAGGTGTCGTCATGAGTATCTTCTCTGCCGCACCCTTCATGGGTCCAGTCTTGGGCCCCATCATTGGTGGATTCCTTGGTATGGCTGAAGGGTATGTAACTGAAACCACACACTTTATCATGCATGGCTAACTCTTCATCTAGATGGCGGTGGGTCAACGGCCTCATGGCAATTTGGGCAGGTGCGCTTCTCGTTACTGTAGCCTTGCTCGTCCCCGAGACATACCCTCCAGTCTTGCTCCGAAAGCGTGCCGAGAAGCTCTCTAAGCTCTCTGGCAAGGTTTACCGATCCCGCGCCGACATTGAACAAGGAAAGGTCTCGCTCGGAGAGGCGTTCGCTACTGGTCTCAAGCGCCCCTGGATCCTCCTCTTCTGCGAACCCATTGTCCTTCTCCTCTCCCTGTACCACGCCATCATCTACGGTATTCTCTACATGCTTTTCGGTGCTTTCCCCATTGTGTACCGCATGGGACGTGGCTGGAATGAGGGCGTCAGTGGATTGCCTTTTGTTGCCGTCGCCATTGGAATCGCACTTGCCATTACCTACGTCATCACCATCGACAACAAGATGTACAGGAAGAAGATTGCGGAATCCGGTCGTGGATTTGCTGCCCCCGAAGCTCGTCTGCCCACGTGCATCATTGGTGGCATTGCACTTCCCGTTGGTCTCTTCTGGTTCGCCTGGACAAACTCTCCTTCCTTGCCGTGGGCTGCTAGTGTTGTCGCCTCGATTCCGTTTGGATTTGGCATGGTTCTCATCTTCCTGTCCATTATGAACTACCTCATCGACTCTTACACGATCTTTGCCGCGTCTGTCTTGGCCGGCAATGGTATCATCCGATCGGTATTCGGTGCTGCCTTCCCGCTCTTCACTTCGCAAATGTACAGCAACCTCGGCATTCACTGGGCATCCTCGGTCCCAGCCTTCCTCGCCGTTGCCTGTCTCCCGCTCCCATTCCTCTTCTACAAGTACGGAGCCAAGATCCGCGAGAAGTGCAAGTACGCCGCACAGTCCGAGGCCTTTATGCAACGCGTGCGCGACCAACACGCCGCAAAGGCAGCACGACAGCAGGCTGCTGGCACCGGATCAGAAGATACGTCTCGTGCCAACACCCTTACACCACAAGAAGAAGCCGAGGAGGAGGCGCACATGGAGGAATCCGAGCCCAGGTTCCAAGAGATGAAGACCGAAAAGGAGACTGAGGGTGCTGATGGTCTGAAGAGGATTCACACCGGACGCTCAACAAGGAGCAGAAGGACAGTGCGCGACCTCGAGTTTGACTCGAACCCATTCGACATTGATCGTGTCAACACAAGAGAGAGCTTTACGAACAGGCCACGAGGCAACAGCCGAGCGAGCGCCAAGCGATAGACATGTGTTACGAAGTTGTTTTGGAGATTGCATTTTCACGGCCAAAAAAGTTGAGTTATTTCTAGACGCACAGCGTTAGCATATACCCCATATCCTAGAGTCAATAGTCGATTCTATAGTTTTGTAATATTACAATCAACAGACTGCCAAGAGTCTCCTCCACTACGAATAGTTGTCTGCCACTAGGCCAATGCCCTGCTTCCTTGATCTCACGTGATGACAGTCGTCTCAAACGGATCATGTTCGGCGATCATCCGCAGCGGCCACGCTAGTAGCTGCTGCCAGAGAAGCACTCCACAAATAGCAGCGCGTCCCATCTCCAGGCCACATCACCCTAATAAGATGTACCCTCATCGGCCCTTCCCACGCGTCCCTCCGCAGATCGCGTTTCTTACATGTGGCTTGCCTTACTTCTTGACCGACGCTTCCGCTCCTTAACTACTACGTGATGCACTAACAATGCCTCGCCTGCGTATCCGCCATGTCGCCATCTGCGTGGCAATTGTCGTGTGGATCTACTGCTTCCTTCCCGAGCACCAACATGCGGGTATTGGCCCGGGCGCCAATCACGATGCGACCATCAACCTTGCGCGCTACATGAACGATGTGTCCGGCATACCGCCCATTCGCGCAAAAGCGAGTAGTTTTGACTGGAGTTCTGTCAACTTTACATACCCGCTGGCACGCAAACCAAACCTACCGGCCCCGTTCAGGAATCGACCTCGCATACAGCATCCTGCTAGAGCCGAATCGCAGGAGGCCAGACGACTCGAGGTCAAGAAGGTGTTTAAGAAGAGCTGGGCTAGCTACAAGAGCAAGGCATGGATGAAAGATGCGCTGAAGCCGATTAGTGGAGGATATGTCGACCAATTCTCGGGCTGGGCTGCTACGCTTGTGGATAGTCTTGACACGTTGTGGATGATGGGCATGCGTGACGAGTTCTACGAGGCTGTCAGAGCAGTTTCGACAATTGATTTCGGCACCTCCACGTTATCAAGGGTGAACACTTTTGAGACGTGCATTCGGTATGTTTTTTTCTGGACTTGAAAGAATGCGACCAAGGGTCAAGCTGATGATTTGTAGATACCTGGGTGGGCTCCTGGCGGCATACGACTTGAGTGGGCACGAAGCGCTAAAGGCAAAAGCAATCGAGGTGGGCGACCTGCTGTATGCCGGATTCAACACCGAGCATGGCATACCAGTCGACTTTATCGAATTCGAAGAGGCAAAGAAGGGCGGAGGCTTGGTTGTGGAGAGCGATGTGGTCAGCGCGAGTCCTGGGACAATCACTCTGGAGTTTAGCCGGCTCAGCCAGATCACCGGAGATGACAAGTACTATGCTGCAGTATCGCGTCTGATGGATGTTTTCCACAAAGGCCAGAACTCGACCAAGCTACCTGGAATGTGGCCCATGATGGTGTCTATGCGTAGGCAGGATGTGGTGTCTGGATATCAATTCACCATTGGCGGAAACGCAGATTCGCTGTATGAATACCTGCCCAAGGCACATGCTTTGCTCGGTTCAGTCGATCCCAGTGCAGCCAAGTTTGAAACCATGTCACGCGCTTTCTTGGACACGGCAATGAACAACCTATTCTTTGCGCCCATGATACCAGGCCAAGAGGAAATCCTCATCTCAGGCAACGTTGACGTCCTTGAAGACGGTCCGAGCCTCGACCCTGAAAGCGAACACCTTTCATGCTTTATCGGTGGACTCTACGCGCTTGCCGGACGTTTGTTCCAAAACGATGAATATCTCGACCATGGAGTCAAGCTCGCTCGTGGGTGTGCTTACGCATATCAGGCCTTCCCATCGGGCATCATGCCAGAGAGATACAACATGGTCCTATGTCCCGGTCCAGATCACCGCAAACCCTGCGCTTGGGATGAGAAGCGATATACCGAAGCCGCAGCCGCACGCCCACAATATAAACCCAACCTCCCCAAAGGCTTCACGACCGCCAAGGATCCGCGTTACATTCTTCGCCCAGAGGCAATCGAGTCCGTCTTCATCCTCTGGCGCATCACGGGCGATCCTGTATGGCGAGAAACGGCGTGGACAATGTTCGAAGCAGTCGCCGTGGAAACAGATACCAAACTCGCCAATGCGGCCATTATGGACGTTACGGTAAAGGGTTCGGAAAAGGAGGACTACATGGAGAGTTTCTGGATGGCGGAAACGCTCAAATATTTCTATTTGTGCTTTGCAGATACCGGCTTGATTAGCCTGGATGACTTTGTCCTCAATACCGAAGCACACCCGTTTCGGTTGTGGAGGTAAAAAAAAAGGGCTTGCTCTGTGTGTTTATGGTTTGCAAGGATATATATGCTACACATTTACTGGGAGGGGTCTTCCCTAAAAGAAAACAACAGGACAATAATCTGATTTTTTTTGTGAAAACGGTAAAACATGACTGAAGACATTTGAAAAACTGGTAGTTCGCTTTTGATGACTTGATTGTGTTTTACTCAGATGGCTCTACGATGAGAGTTATTTGGTATCCATGAAAAAAAAAACGCCTGAACTCAATCTCGTCTTTTACACTCAATGTGAGAAGACAAAAAGAGAAACCCCCCTCTTCGTTGCCCCAAGAAAGTATGACAAAAACCTCCTCCGAAAAAAAAAGCCAGCCCAACCGTTCATCTCATCATACCGCATATAATCATTATAAGAAAAAAAAACACACATCATCACGTAACCCTCTCAAACCGCATGTGCTCCACCTCGACACCCGGCGTACTCGCCACAGTACTAACCCCAGACTGGCTCGAAAACAAGCTCGAACTACTCGACTCGACCCTCGACAGGACCGACTCGGCACTCGACGGCATACGCGACAGCGAGTGACAAATGTCCTCATAATGAGGTGCAAACTCTCTGTCTGGTTCCCTTGGACTATATACCGGCAGGGGCTCCACATCATCCTCCTCGTCTGGTTGCGTCAAAGCCGACGACGCATCACGACGTGTGCGGGGCAAGATCTCGAGGGGCGTGGTAGACCGGATTGTGAATTGCTGGTCGTTGTACTGTATACCGACGGTGACGCCGAGCGTGTACCTGCGGGTAATCGTGTACGTCTTGAACGAGGGGATGCACTCTGCGTCGTCGAGGAGGCGGAAGGAATTCGAGGTCAGGGGGACGGTTTTGTTCAAGGGAAGGTGCTTTTGCATGTCTGAGCGCGAGATGCAGGTTACGTGTTTGGCGACGGTGTCTTCGGGGTAGGAAGACGAGTTGCCGCACATGGTGGTGGAGTAGGTGGATATGACGACGGAAAGGGTGGAGATGGTGCAGTGGCGCCCGGCATGGTTGGCGGGGTCGCGGGCGTTGAGGAGGTTGAGGGAGAGGGAGATGTGGCCGCCGGGTCCGACACAGATGGGGTGATAGAGTGTGGGGACGATGCGGGGGGTCGAGTTCATGGAGACGCCTGAGAAGACTTTCTTCACGCGGGATTCGTCTTTTTCGCGGGTGGGCTTCCAGGATTGGCCGTAGAGGACGGAGGAGGCGGTACGGGGGCGGGAGATTGCGTATGCGGGTGGTTTGGGGTGGTAGCGGAGTGTCTGCTTGCATCTCTTTGTTTCTGTGGAGCCAGATAGGACAAGTCTTGCCTGGACAAAGTATGATATTTGTGCTGTACCGTCCGGGACGTCTGTTTTTAGTTGGAATGTCGGCGGGAGTGGATGTGGTTCCCAGAGGTAACTGTCTCCATGGGCTGAGCGTTTGTACTGAGGTTCGGTAGATGCTGGGAAGGTGAATTCAAAATTCCAGGAATATTTCTTCGGTGCAAGTCTGCAACAAGAAAGTAGATGTTTTTCTCGGTTGAACAGGCGTATTTTTTCTTCGTAGGTTTGCCTTGACGGAGTGGCATCGTTGTTGCCATGTGTATGTAGTGGCCTGGTAGTCTTGGTAATACAACTCCCGGCGAAGACCAACTTCAGTGACGCAACATCCTTTTGCTCTTCTACTGCCAACCAGACTTGGCCCTTGACCTTTTCTCCTGCCTGGTATATCTTGTTGTTGTCGCCATCTACTGTAACTCTTAGTGCTGGGACCGTCATGTTTGCTGCAGAGGTATGATCAGATCAGCAATGCAGGGACCTTTGGGGCTTAAGAGAAAAGGAGCGGGTATAAACGATTGGCTTCAGGCCCGGCCACGCGGCTGCCAGTGTAGCTGGTACGAGGAGAATGTTTACCGGGGGTGGGAAGCGTGCCAAGCAATGCGGGATGTCTGGGCATGCAGCTGAAAGATGATAATGGAAGGTCAGAGGACGCTTTCTTGGAAACGGGAGGCTGAGTAGAGGCTGTTATTGGGACTACATATTGTTTGTCTTTTGCCTTGGGTCTCCCGACGTGCTTGGCAGGCTGTTCCGCTGACCGGGAGAAACCATGAAGCAGTTGGGATCAAGACAGGTACTTGGGCACACATGCGGGTTTGTACTGTGCTGTGGACATGGGATGCTGGCAGTGATTAGGGCTGTAGTATAGCGACCGTCTTGTTTCATGAGACGGCTGCTCGCACCGACCAAGCGCGACCCAACATACGCCATGAGGATTGCAGAGACACAGCAGCCGCAGCAGAGTTCCGATCCTGTTGATTCCGCAGAGGAGTTGGAGGCGGGAGAGAGCCAAGGAAGCGTGGTGGTCTTGGCTGGCAGTCTGGATCAGCCACGCTGATACCCCAGATTCACCCCGCTAGCCTCGTCCTGCTAGACCGACAAGACGGGCTCTGGAGTCTGGGTGAGGCCATATAGGACCCGCTGCCCTGGAGCTGGATAGGCAAGGACCCTGCTTTGGTTGTCTGGTGAGCAGCACAAAAAAACATGTCGACAATGTTGGAAAGCGACGAGGAGGGTGCGAGTAGAAGGCAGGAGGAGTCATCTGCATCCCGCCCCGGCGCCGTGGCGTGGGCACGAAGAGCCCTTGGCTTGGGCCCAAGGCCTCGATGGCGGACCGACTCGCCAGGAAAGAATCGGGGAGATGGAAGGGCATGTGTAGCAGGCGGCTTACGTATCCGATTCGCCTGAGTAGATGGCGCTGTAGCGAGCATCCAACGCGTGGCCCACCGAGAGTAGTATTCACGTCGAGCTGTGTAGGTAGTTTGAATCAAGACTTTGGTCCCGAGAACTAATCACATGCCGTCTGCTGGGCATTCCCAGGGCGGCGTGGGAGCGCCAGCCTGTGGTTCGGCGTACCGACCCGCCGGCGCTCGGAACTTGTCGTCGAAACGTCATGCACTTTTTTTCGCGGCACCCGTTGGACTGCCCCCATTTCAGTCTGTCCGTCTCCAAGACTCACAGCTGTTGCTATCATGTATAGTGCAGCCCATTCACTCTCGACATAGCACATTTGAACAATTGACGGCGCGGCAATGTCAGATGGCGGAAAGCGCCCGTCTTCTTACTGTAAGTGTGGACAGCAGAGCAGAGCAGAGCAGAGCAGAGCACAGCAGAACAAAGCACAGCAAGAGCATGGCACGGCATTGGTGCGTGGCAGCAAGACCCGAGTGGCTGACACACGGGCTCAGTCCATTTCTTTGCTGGCTTGAACTCAGGCATCCTGTCTGCCGTTCTCCTCCAGCCTGCCGATCTCCTCAAGACACGCGTCCAGCAGTCTCGCTCAAGCACTCTTCTTGGGACCATCCAGTCCATCGCAAGCGGGCCGAATCCCATCCGGCAGTTTTGGAGGGGCACACTGCCAAGTACATTACGCACAGGCTTTGGCTCTGCCATCTACTTCTCCAGTCTCAATGCGCTGCGCCATAGAGCCAGCCTGGTTGCGGCGGCGAGGGCGGATGTGTCGCTGAGGGGAGGCGAGCATTCGAGCTCGCTGCCAAAGCTGAGCAACACGGCCAACCTTGCTACAGGAGCATTTGCACGCACATGGGCCGGCTTTGTCATGATGCCAATTACAGTCCTCAAGGTGCGATACGAGAGCAACCTGTACGCATACAATTCCATGTTTTCCGCCTCGAGGGACATTTTCCGCACAGAGGGGCTCAAGGGCTTCTTTGCTGGGTTTGGTGCAACCGCGGTGCGCGATGCGCCATATGCAGGGCTTTATGTTTTGTTTTACGAGCAGTCGAAGCGAAGACTGTCGAGCTTGGCAAGCAAAATCGAAGAGACGTCGGGCGCAGCGACCAAGCTCTCGTCGAGCACGTCGGCCGGCATCAACTTTGTCTCGGGCGTAGCGGCAGCTGGCCTGGGAACAACGGTGACGAATCCGTTTGATGCCATCAAGACTCGCATCCAACTCATGCCCGACCAGTACGGAAACACGATACAAGCAGCGAAGAAGATGCTTGCCGAGGAAGGGGTGCGAAGTTTGTTCGATGGGCTAGGCATTAGGATTGCCAGGAAAGCAATGAGCAGTGCGCTCGCGTGGACCGTTTACGAAGAATTGATTCGACGCGCGGCAAGCCTCAAGGAGGTGGTCGAGGATAAGATGTAACGGCACACTGTATCATACACATGTAAGTGCATGCGCGGGGGCGGCGTTGATGGGCCCTGGCTAGGTATATCTTCGCTCTACTCGAATATCAGGACAAGATGCATAATTTCCCGATTGCGTGCAGCAGGTGCATGAATTTGGCGTTCCTGAGACTGCTATCTTTGGGTGCAAATCTCTAGGGATGGCTATCTTTGGTTGGGGGCCAGGAATAGCCGATGTCGCTGGCGCCACACACAAACTTGAGAGCTTACTTTGCACGTGAGCAGCCTGTTTCATGGAGCGCTGGGAAGCCAGACATGTGCCATGAAGCGCGTATCTCGAGAGCATTGTAGACAGCGGACAGCACACGGCGAGTGACATGTGATTAATAATGGGTAGTGCGAGCTTCAGTGTGGCAGAGCTGAGGCTGACAGCACAGTATAGCCCAGCACGCCGAGCGGGCACGTGACGGGGGAATCCGGCCCCCCGCGACTGCAAGAGGAAAGAGGGGTGTGTCAAGCGTGCCTTCCTAGCGGCACCAAACTAGACGTCGCCCCACCATACCACGGCTGCTTCCTCCCAGCACTGCACTGCACGGCATAGACATGGCCATTATCGCACAACACGCCCATAGCAGTATCAAAGAGGACAACACACTGTATTTGCGGCATGCTTACCGCCACCGATCTGGCCGCAGACAGCTGGCCAAGGGCGACGGGCTAGTCGGTGTTCAGCAGACCAGCGCCTATAGTGCCCCCCGGCCTCAGCCCTGGCGGCAGCTGCCTGATGACTAGCTGCATCGCCGGAGCATTTCAGCCCCCAAAATTGTGACATGAGCGCGCCCTCGTCTCCCTCTCAAAATCCCCTCGGCCGCGCTTTCGAGCTGATTCCTTTCTGCTTACTTGTGTCACCTCGCTTGCTGCTCACGCCGCACCCGAGACAAAGACACAAAAGCCTGCTGCACTGATTCCAGCCTTCCCTGACCAGTGTACCTTTTACACCCCAACACTCAACTCCTTTTGCCCGTTTTTCTTTTACCACATTCTTTGCCTCCCATACCCATCATGGTTCTCTCAGACGTGTGGGATGACCTCTACGAGGACGACGAGTGGTACAGCAGGAAGGATCGTGTCACGGCCAGCGCCCGCCATGTCCGTGGCTCATCTCCTCTGCCGCCAACAAAAACTCGAGACGATGCTATCCTTCCTCCCAACCATGCTCGTCGTACCAGTGAGTTCCTGGCTCCAGAAGTACACTACACTACCTCTCTGCACCGTACTCGCTCCCAAGGTCACGCGCCAGTCCCCAACGTGACCATTTACAACACCACTCGCATGGACAATGAGAGTAGCCCCCAAGTACGTACAGAGCAAAAGAGCCGTGACTCCAGCCCACGCGGCCGCCTAGAGGTGAAGCGCAACATGCCTGGTGCATTTGAGCTTGAAGAGGAAATCACTGCACTGAGGGCAGACTTGAGAAAGGAGCAGCGTTCTCGCTCCCGACATGAGTACCAAGAACGTCGCCGCACGCCTGAACAAACTGATTACACCGACAAGATCAAGTTGACCATTGCCGAGCAACGCCTCAAAGATCTCGAGTTGGAGCGAGAAAGAGAGCGCCTCGAGAGATACCATGAGCGCCGCCCTTCGCCAGAGCATGACTACACCGACAAAATCAAACTCACCATGGCTGAGCAGCGTCTCAAGGATCTCGAGAATGAGCGTGAAAGAGAGCGATACGAAACCGAGCGAGAGCGCGATCGACTAGAACGAGAGCGGGATCGAGACCAAATGGAGCGGGAGCGAGAGCGAGAGCGAGACCAACTGGAGCGAGAACGAGAGCGACGTCAGTTTGAGCGATACAACCAGCACCACCATCGCCATCATTCGCCTGACCACAGCGCCGAAGACAAGGTGAAGCTGGCACTCTCTGAGCAGCGACTAAGAGAGGCCGAGGAAAAGCTCGAGCGGGAACGGCAAGAGGATGAGATGAAGAACCGCGAAGAGCTCATGAGGCGCCGAATGGAGCTTGAGTACATCACCGACAGAAGGGAACGCGAGCGTGAGGAAGAAAATCTTCGAAGGTTCGAACAGAACATGCGCCGCGAGTGGGACCTCAAGCGAGAACGCGAAGAGCGCGAGCGCGAGCGACAAGAGGTTGAAGAAGAGAAGAAACGCAAGGCCATCATTGCCGAGAACCGAGCAAAGATGTCTCGGGAGCAGCGAGAAGCGGCCGAGCAGCGTGACAAGATCCTCGCCGATCTCGAGAGAGAGAAGCGAGAGCAAGAAGAAGAGCGCAAGCATATCCTCGCAGAGACTCGCCTGAAGCAAGCACGCGAGCAACGCGAGGCAGAGGAGCAGCGTGACAAGATCCTGGCTGACATGGAGAGACGAAAGAAACAGGAGGACGAAGAGCGCCGGCACATACTCGCAGAGAGCCGACTCAAGCAAGCCCAGGAGGAGCGTGAGGCAGAAGAACAGCGTGAAAAGATTCTAGCCGACTTGGAGAAGAAAAAGAAGAAGGAGGAGGCAGAACGCCAGCGCATCATTGCCGAGAACACGGCCAAGATGGAGAAAGAGGCGCGGGAGCGCGAGCTTCAGGAGAAGGCAAAGGAGGAAGAGCGTAAGCGCATCATTGCCGAGAATGAGGCCAAACTGGCCAAGCAGGCAAGGGAAGCAGAGGAGGCGCAGCGACGTGCTGTCGAGGACTACGAGAGAAAGAAGGCCAAAGCCGAAGCCGAAGCCCAGGCCGAGCGTGACCGCATCATCTTCGAGTATGAACGCAAGAAGATCCTCGACGCCGAAAAGGAGAAGAAGGCGAGAGAAGAGATGATCCTGAAGCTCAAGATGGAGGAGGAGGAAAAGAAGAGAAAGGACAAGGAAGAGTATGATGCCTTTATGCGCAAAGAGAAGGAGAGACAAGAGGAAGAAAAGAAGAAGAAGGAAGAGCAAGAGAAAGAGCTTGAAGAGGCAATGCGTAAGAGGCTTTCCCAGTTTGGCTTCCAGGACAACCAGATCCAAGTCCTCGTGAATCCCGAGAAGCAACGCGAATTGCAACAAGGCATGCTACCAAACAACCCCATTCCCCAGATTGCACTCTCGCCTCATCACCACCATCAACACCAACACCAACAACAACAACAACAACAATACCACCAACACCATGCCATTGCACCTACGCCAACCTACGCCAAGGTCCACGTCAGCCATCTTGACGTTGAGACCCTTCACTACTATGATATTCCCTATGAATACGATGTTGTAAGTTTGATATGTCTTTAGTAAATGACCCAGTATTAACAAATAAGCAGAACCCAGAGTACATTATCGTCCTTCGCGAGATGTCGCAACGCGAGACGGACATCCTCTTCGAACACACACGCCGCCTTCGCTCGAGCCACGGCAGCAAGCTCTTCATCGAGGCCGAGGGTCGTGACAGTAGGGGCAAGAAGGAGTACGCCTTTGTGCGTAGGAAGTCTCGATCCCGCTCCAGGAGTGCCGTTGGTGTATCTTCTGGTCGAACCAATGTGACCTTGGGAGATATGATTTGGCGATAGGCTACTGTCGAACTGTTGCATTTATTCGTGTTGTTCTCCTCCACTTATGATATACCAGTTTGTTTCTTTCTCCGATGCTTTCAGACGTTGTCCTGTTTTTTTCTTGGCTTCTCTCATCTGTTGTATGTATGTACGTACGTAGCGAGTGAATTGGAACGATTATGCGAACGAAACATATCCGCGACCTAGCTTCTGATGTATTGCATGCGTGCATGTGGGTGTGTTTGCCTGGGATTCAACTAGTAACCAGGGTTTCTCTCTACTGCTGTGCAGTCTAGTTTCAGCTGGCTTATGCCATAATGTGGAGAGAGTAGCATAGCACGTGGTACGTGGTTGTCAGGCCTGTCGCAGGTAACATGTGACGACATACGAGGGCGTGGGGGCGATTTCGGTTCGCTCCCGCGAGCCTCGGCTTTTGATCATCAGAACACGACCACGGTTCGCCGCGACCCAGTTCCAAGCATCTTCCACCATTTGTTTTAGCCAGCGTTGATACCCTTTTTTCCTTTCAAATCATGGCGGACGCGCTTTGCGGGCCTTCGAATGCCCTTCAGAATTTCCAAAAACACACGACCGTTGATCGGACGCTGCAGCAAGATCGACTGGTCGGCAGACAGTCACCAGCGCAGGTATGTCACCGTTGAAAGACGACTGGATATAATGCGAGGGTCTAACTGTTATTTAGGGCTTTAGGTCAGCACCAGGGCCAAACGTAGGGGCATTAGATTCCGAGTTCGACGCCTTTCAGGCTGGCCGACCTGGTCCGCCGCAAGACTTCCAGCAGTTTGCTCCACGCTTCGCACAACCTCCTCCGCAATTCGCGCAAGCGCCTCAAGCGCCCGACTGGGCTGCTGACTTTCAGCGTCTGAATGTGAGCGGTCCACCTCCACAAGCGTTGCAGCAACAAAGACCGCAGGCAGCAAGCACGGCGTCAGCATGGCATCAGGACTTCTTGAAGCAGCAGACGCCGGTCGCACAGGCTCCCACGTTACAGCAGAACACGTTTGGGGGCATGTCGGGGTACGGCATGGGTGGATTTGGAGGACAAGCGTACATGCAGACACCAAGTTTTCAGAACGCGCAAATGTCCGACGTGGCACAAGGGAAGCAGCGGGCGCAGGATGATGTACCCGCTTTCGACGAGGCGGCCTTTGAACAGGCGTTTGCGCAGGCGCAACAAGATATGTTGGAGGTTGTCGAGGCAGAGCAGGCACATGCACAACCAGCGCAAGAAACGCTGGACTTGGACCGGCCGGGTGAGATGGATCCTCTCCTTCAACGGATACGTGAAACGCGTCCAGGTTTGTAGTATCCGCCGCGCTCACTACAGTTGCTGACTATGCTTTCCAGCCGTATACTCTGCCATCCAAGTATGGAGCGAAACTGGCCTTGGACGAACCTCTGAAGCAGTCGCATACCTGGAGAACATGAACCAGATGGAGCGAAACGGGTCCTTGATACAAGACGCAAACGAAGGAAGATGGATAGTCGATTCCCTGCAGAGAATTGCAAATCGTGATGCTCCTCAAGAAGTCAAGACCCGCGCCGAAGGCCTTATCAAGGCAATCAACGAGCGCCTCATGTCGCAATACCCCCTCGGCACGCGCGTGCCCATGTCGGAAGAGCAAATCTGGAAAGACCTCGAAGCAGCAGGCTACATGCGAACACCGGCGCCACTCCAACGCATGCAGCAACTGCCCGAGGAAGAGCAAAAGCAACAAGAACAGCCCAGACCAAACGAAGACGACGAAATGGCAGCAACTGCAGGACGCCTCCTCGAACGCGTCGCAGACAACACAAGCGAAAAATTTCAAAACTCACAGTTCCTGGGTCTCATGCGCCGCCTGCGCGACCGCGAAGTCAGAGTCCAGGAAGACAAGATTGTCGAAGTCGAGGGCGCCGCCCAGCACCAAACAACCAATAACTCTACCACTACTACCATTCCTGCCGTACAAACCAGCAACACCCAACAATCACAACCCCCGTCCTCAACCCAAATCCCCCCAATAGACCCCACAATCCTCTCCCACGCAGCCACCGACTTTGAACAACCAATCTACTCCGACATGGGCCACGCCCACGACCAACAGTATGTCTTCCACTTTCCTTCTCCTCCCCTCCTTTCCTCTTCCCATCCCATCTCGTCATCCAGTGAATCAACCTTAACTGATGACGTCTCAGATCAATATAGATATTACAATGTTAACGCCGCTTATCACCAGGCCTTTTACCAGCCCTAGTAGCGATACCAGGGATGAGCGCAGAGAGGGCTTACAGCATGCGGTGGGCGAGTGGGGCGATGATGCGGATTTATGGCGTTATTGGAGGAGTCCCGGTAGGGATCCTGTGGGATTGGGAAGGGGGAGGGGAGGGGGAGAGTAAGGATGGACTCGTGTGTTTTTCTTTTTGGTCTTGATGGTTGGTTGGCGAAGGGGGGGAGGGGGGGCCATTTGATGTTGGATATGGAAGAAGGGGAAGGGGGGATTACGAGGGAAATGGCTTAATGCATTTGTATACATTGTACATCACTACACCTTGTACTTGACGAAGCAAAAAAAAAAAAATAAAACTTGGATAAATTCCATCATCCTTTCTCATACCTCTCCCACTGAACTTTCCAACTAACCCCCTGCCTCTCCTTCTCCCTTGTTACCCTCGCCCTCTTCCTCCCCACCGGGAACCCAAATCCCCACACCCTTCTTATCTCCCCTCATTCCCTCCGTCCCCTGCACCTTAAGCGTCTTATTAAAATACCGATCCGTAACCTTTAGATTCGGCGTGATCCAGTCTCCCTCGATACTCGACAGCAAATTATACCTCACCGTCTGGCGACTCATAGGTAAAAGATGCAGCGTACGGAGTTTCGGTCCGCTAAACCCAAACGTCTCACTGGCTTCCATTGCGAGTTCAAAGGTCAAAAAGTGCATGGTTGGGTTCTCGAGGACGTAGTCGAGGTGGATGAGGGAAGGGACTGAGGGGGAAAAGTGTGAGAGGGCTAGGACGCGGGGTTCAGATGAGGGGATTTGGATGCGGGGGATAGGCAAGGAAGAGGTTACGGGCAGGGCAGAGGGGTCTGAAGTACGCTGCCAAGTAATATTGAGTGTAGTGTCGAGGGCCGTGGAGCGTCGTTCTTCGAGATTGTTTTTGCGAATGTCAAGGCTGAAGCTCCATTCGCTGAGGACTTGTGGCTCCATGCGCGTTTCACTGATTTCGAATTCTTTGGTCACGTCGCACGTGGCGCCGCCGTGGATGCTGTGGACTTCGACTGCGAGGTCGCTGACGATGAGGTGCTCGTCGGCGAAGGAGGCGACTTTGGCGCGTAGGCCCCATTTCTGGGCTATGCCGAATGCATCGGACGACTCGGGGCTCACGTTGCTTTCGGCTTCTTGAAGCTCAAAGTAACTGGGCCATGGATCAGGGTGCACACGTGCGTTCAGGTCGTAGCTAGCTTCAAAGGGGGCGTTGAAGACTATGTCTGCTACCATGATCTTGGAGATGGGTATATCACGGTCGCTGAGCACGTGGTATAAGACCTTGACCTCTAACGCATAGTCTGCTGGGTCGGCCGGGGCTATAAAGCGTATTCGTTCAGTTGTGCGTGCCCCTTGAGCGAGTTTGCCGACTACATGGCCTGGTAGATCCACGTCGGTCGAGCCATCAAGTGCTGGCGGTACTTCCTTCATCGGCGACGATGCTGGGCGATCAACCCAGGTGTATCCGAGAGAGTCTTTTGAGCGACCAAGGATTCGAACTTCGAGAACAGCTTCAGTGTCCTCGTCTTCCTGATTGATTATTTCAATCGCAAGGGTGACCTGCTCGTCGGTATAGTATTGATCGCGAATGTCTGGCAGGCTAATTTCCATCTTTGGTGGCTTGGGCAGTATGTGAACTGACATGCCCGAGCCGTGCTTCAGCAATCTTGACTTGATCTTTTTGTTTGATTGGATCCACCATAGTGGATGAATGGGAATGTCAATATCTGTGTCAGACGAGACGAGATCAAATCGCTCGGTGCTAACCCCCAATATGCAAGCGGTAACGTCGACATCACCCGACTCACGGAAAATGAGCGGCACGCTGTAAACCTTGGTCTGACCAGCATGCAGTGTCAAGTCAGCAGTTCCTGTCCACTGAGGCTTTCCAGTAGCTGATTGGGCCTCATCTAATGTACAAGAGTACATCCTAGAAGCATGGTCAGAAGGTTCTTCACCTTCTTGGTGCGTCAAGCGAACTTCAGCCAAGCCGCCGCTGAATTGGTATTGCAAGAATGACAAGGTAATGGGAGTGGACCCTGGGCGAGCGTTCGAAGTGATTGCAATCTGCGATTGCAGCGGCTCACCCACATTGCCTTCGGCTTCAGAAAAGGCAAACGACACAGACACTGGTCCGTTAGTACTGGCTCTGCTGAGAGACGAGGTCGCACCTACGGCAAGAAATGTGTTCTTTAGCATTCAAATTCACTGTGACTTTTCCATCTGCTGCTTTCGTGAAAGAGTCCAAGCATGTCATGAGATCGTATTTGTACTTTGTCTTGCCAGGGATTGCTGAATAGAATTAGTGGGAGCAACATTACTAATGCGTGAAGATACTGACTTTGACTGTACAACTCCCATTCAGTAGCAAGATAGGCCTCAGCGTCTTGCACCCGCAATGCGCACTCGTGCAGGGCCCAAACTACTTCTGAAGCGAGATTCCACCACTTTTCTTTCCTCCAGGACATGGTCTCCCAGAGTGGACGTAGTACCTTGAAGGCGTCTTCAAACCTGTTGACGTGCAGTAGTGTTCGAGCGACCTCTAATTGCAATTGGTCTACTTTCCGGTGCTGCCCCCGGGCTTTAAATTGAGCAATTGCATCGTTCATCTTGGAAGAGATGTCTTTCCAATGCTCGAAACCATTCCCACCAACGCCAGGCAATGGGTACTCTTCATGCGGCTGCGGAACAAGGTAGCTATCATATATTTGGCTCCGGGATGACACCTTCGCGGCAGGAGACATGCCTGGCGGTGTTCGATCCTCTTCAGGCATTTCCCGGGCCAGGATGTAACGCCTCTTGGCATGGTCACTGGCGATTTTGTGCCAATAACCGGCGTGGTGGAGGAGCTCCCATGGCGGCAGTCTTTCTCCCATTGGAAATTGTTTTTCGGGTTCCGAGAATAGAGAGATTGGGATCTCTGTCAAAGGATCTGAATCTGACTTGGAGTCTGTCGTCTTGAAGACGGGTAAGTCTGTCCGCTGAACGATTTCTGCCATAGCTTGGGCCCATCTAGACTCCCATGCTTGCCAGCCGTAGTTTGCAGTGCCCTTTCCTCGGCGATCCAAAACATCCTGCAGCTTGTACTTGTAACGCAGCCATGTCTGCACCGCAGAAGTGGGGTAGTTATTCCAAAGCTGACAGCGAATATGCCGCAAGGCAATGATGTCTGAAAGCAATCGTATCTCATCCCATCTTGGTGACCAACTCGCTGTGGTTTCAAATAGACCTTCCGCTCCAAAAAGAGCCTCCAAAGCAGCATTATAGTGCCGTTGCGCAGCGTCCATCTCTTGGCGAAATTCGGCGAATATGGCTAATTTGAAGTCGTAGCGAATACCCCATCCAGGATATGATAATGTCTGGGAAGTTCCACGCGTAGGAGGTGCTGTGGGAGGAGGGATAGTGCCTCGATTCTTTTTTCTCCGTGCATGCTTTGTGAGGTCACGATAGTACTCTACGCAGACGGGGTGCAATATGGCGAGGACTGACGTGACAAAAGCCTCCAATTCAACCCGTGATGTTCTCGGGGGCAAGAAGAAGAGAGAGTTCTTTGGGTCAAGGCCCGTCGCACGGCGGATGGTAGCAAGCCTTTCCTCAATATCTGGTGCTTCCAGTATCGTCTTGTCGCTCAACAGCACCACCACATACTTTGTGCGGTAGTCGGACTTTTGTATCTGGCCCTTGATCTTGTTGATCTCCGTCTTCAGCTGATTGTCATGCAAGCTGTTTGTAATAGGGTCGGTGGTGAAGTTGAAGAAAGAAATGAACACGGCTGGTATGTAGTGCTGGTGCTTTGCAACCCATGCAGGAGCGATGACACCATCTGGGAAGGAGGGGGCTCCGGGCGAGAGGGGCGATATGGGTGAATGGAGAATCCACGACGTCGCTGCAGCAATAGTGGGACTGCCTGGAGGCGTGGTCTCGGAGTGTGAGGGCGCATCTGCCTTGTGCGGGGGCAGCTGGAAGTTCTAGCAGACATCAGCCCGTCGCTCCTTCGCCATGTTTGTTTGCGGGCGCCCGTACCCTTCCTACACTTCGTATTCTGAAGCTGTACGTGAGGCCTCTGCGACCCAAACCCCGCGAATTCCATGGCGCATTGGTTGCATCAGCACGCAAAAACTCAGCGAGGAGCTCATTTGCGCGTTCGCCTTCGACGGGCGCTATCTCCGAGTTGATGTTTGTAACGGCCCTCCCAGGAAGCACTTGCTGAACAGGTGGGGGTGGATTGACTTCTTTGCTCGTGGCCAGACCAGAGAGGACTATCAGAGGTAGGTTGTGGACCACAAAGTCTGAAGGAAAGGCCTCCATTCTCTACGTAGGCTCAAGTCAGCGCCCCATGCCCAAAGAACACAGGCAGCTTGAGTGAGCTGGATGCTAGTCGGAGGGGCCGAGGGGCTGCAAGTTCCAATTCGAGGATCGCGTAACAGGTCGCCAGTTTCTCGTGTGGAATCGGTCTCAGGCTTAACCTTGCAGTCTTGGTATTAGTCGAATCGCGGTTTGCTGGGCCCTGGCACGTTCTCGAGAGATTGTTGGCGAGCCATGTCATCGGCAGTCGGCATGTGGTCAGATTGCGGGCGGGATCCATCAATGATGCGCTAAGTGAACCCTGTCTCGTCTCTCCGCCGAACGATTCCTCTACCCAAGCCCAAGCTTTGTGAACAACTTCTACCAATAATCCACCTGTCGGTCGACGTGTCTTTCTACTCTCCTCTTCTTGCAAACGCCAAAGCGCGTGTACCTTCAGTCCAGACGCGCTCCCAGTTGTTATTCACATACTTTCTTGCTACTGCGCTGCCCAGAGGCTGTCAGCGACATGGCAGGCCAACAGCAGCAAATCCTTGATACCATCTTCAATATGAAGAGGAAGATGTTGCGCAAAGATGATTGTAAGCGTACATAGCAGCATCTGCTTCCATCACTCTAACACCTACCAGCGGACACAGAAGATTCCGAAACTGCCCTCGGTAGCAACAAGCAGGACTTACGGCGCAAAGTCCACTACGCGCGCGCAAGCGATCCCGACTTTCTCGCAGACCCGCGTCCTTATAAGAAGGTTCGATCCTACTTGCATAACGTCTGGGCGGGATAGTTCACTGACCTACCGTAGCGCATAGAGCACGCCGGTTATCACAGATATATTTTGCAGCGCAACCCTCCGCGATACGATGCCGATGGTGACATTGTCGAAGTTGACGACGAATACGAAGACGAAGATGACGTGGAGCCAGTAGAAGAGAACCCGTATGGAAATATACATCTGGAGAGTATGTAGCCATCGCATGAATGCGTGGCATGACATGGGCTTACCGAGATACAGACCTTCTTGCACCATTGACCTCCGCTGCCGATTTACCGAACCATCCTGCCTTGAGCGTTGCGTACACCTCCAGACATCTTTCGGATCTTGCCAACGAGGCCGGAGCTCTTTCGCGAAAAGAGCAGATCACCAATGCGCGAGCCAAGAACCTTTTTGTGAAACTACAAGGGGATTCTATGTTCGCGCCTGCTGCCCTAGCAGCGATGAGCGATACGCCATTTCGAATGTCACGCTCAAGGATTCCAAGTCGGCGTTTTGAGGAGGGCGGAGACCAGCGCACACACGACATTGAAATGCAGGAGGCGGTTGATGGTACACAAGACGTGAATATGGAGGACGTCGCGCAGCCCAATGGGACAGACCAAACAAATGATACCAATGGCAATGCTGGACCCGAGGCAGTCAACGGTGCCGAGCCCATGACAAATGGGACACATACCGATGATGCAGATGAACTGCAAAAGAATGGCCATGAGGAGCATTCTCCCATGGGCGAGGATGTGTCCGACACAGCATCGCAGCAAACGCATAGGATGACGACACGTACGCGAGCTCGAGCGCACGCTGCTTCGACCCCTTCCCCTCCTCACTCACCGTCAAGCGATGTCAACGTGATACACCCCCTTTTCATACACCCCACCGAGTCATTGCCAGACCGCGACTTTGGTCTTCCACCAAATGAGGCAGAGGAAACGCGCATGCTTCTTATGGCATACGTACAAAAGCAAGAGGAAGTCGCGCGGATTACGGCTGACCTCTACCACGGCTTGCTGGAAGCTGACCGTATGAGGCACGACGTTTTCAAGTGGTCGAAAGCAGAAGGCCATGTAGGGGAGATGAGCGATGGTGAAGATTGGTATGACAACGAAGAATGGGGCCTCGAACAGGATCTGGCCAAGGGTCGTGATGAAGAGGAGGATGAAACCGCAGTAGCTGGGAAAAAGAGCACAAGACAACGGCGAAAGCCTGACAAGGACGATAGGTGATTTGCTCGAGGAAAAAGGACAGTCTATTTTTTTATCATCATTCATGCATAGCGAGATACCACATTACGACCCGGAATGGAAATCACCCTCTTACACGGGCACATCTACCCACCTGGTCGCTCTTGCCTTGCGAAATTGATCACGTGCTTTCGCGTCTACATCGCATTTCCTTCACCCACCAACCTTTCAGCTTTTTTGAATCACCACCGCGCTAAGCATGGAGCATGTATTGCGTTGTAATGACTTGAAATGTCGGTTGCAGCTCCATGAACGCGCTGTTGTTACGACCTGCAGGTTCGTATTTTTCCATGGCGCCGTCATATCTAACAGACATGCAGTCACATCTTTTGCACCAATTGTGCAGATACTACCGGTCTTTCAAGATCAACAAATGCGCAACGAGTCTGTCCAGCATGCAGTGCGCCACTTCCCAGCCCAGACGATGTAGTCGTCGCAGGTCTCAATCCATCAGAAGACTACAAGACTTCAGTGTTGAGTGGCCTTAGCCCAACAATCATCATGGAGTGTGCAAGTCGTGGTTTGGCCTTTCATAGTTATCAGACGTGCCAAGAGATCATCTACCAAGAGCACCTCGCAAAAGGCCTCACTGAGAAATATAACATATTAAGCCAGCAGATGGATCAGCTCATTCATGATGCCAACGCTCAGATCAAAGCACTCCAGGACAAGATGCAAGGTTTGCATTATGCATGCCCTAGCTGTAGACTTTGTAACTAATGATCTCCAGCTATGCAAGCAGACCTCGTAGAGCTCGAGTCCAAGAATCATGGGTTTGCGGAAGCCTTCAAAGAAAAGACCAAAGCACACCAGAGAACACAGAATCTTTACCAAGCACTCAAGGCCCAAGTCATGGCTTCGCATGTAGCTCATGCTGCCGGCGATGAGGCAGAGTTCGCGCTGAAATCAGCCCGGGGAGATCGCTTCATCGATCGCTTGCCGGGTGCCCGGTCTGGCACTGCGAATTTCAGCCAAATAGGCCCTTCACAACAAATAGGCGACAGACTGCATAAGAGGATTATCAGTAGAAGCTCTGGTAGCAGTGGGCGACAGCAGCAGGGCAGTATTCACATTGGTCCTCCTTTCAATTCACAGCTGCATGGACATAGTCTCGGCAGCAGAGTTCACAGTGGTCGTAAGTCTATTCTATGGTGTTCTGTTTGAACACGTGGTTTTCATAGGCGCTAAGCTGACCAGACAAAGAACATGTCTCAGTTGATACACCTTCTCAAGCTCGGAGAAGTCGCCTTCCAGTCCTTGGTGGAACACGTCAGAACCCATATCTCAATCAGGAACCAACTTCTTCTTTTCAAAACTCACCAATGATTCGACAGCCAGTGGCTGGTGGCTTTTTGCACAGCGGTAAGTCATCGAGGAGGACTAGTAATTTCGCCAACACTGGCCCGCTTGGACCATGAACGCGTCATCTTGTGCAAGAAACCAAAGCTGAAAGAATGGAATTTGATGATGATCTCTGATCGGGTGTATCTCACATGCTCAACCTCAAAGGGAAAGCTCTTACGCCATGCAGGAATTTCCTCCGGTCTGATGCAGATGCAGTCATTGAAGAAAACAGTTTTGTGCAATCATGTCTTGGTAAACTTCCCACACGCATATTAATGAACCCATACAAACAATGTTTGATGGATCATGAAGTTCATTGATATCGTTAGACCAGCGCGTTACTGGAGTACGTACGCGTTACGGGATCTCAGGTCACTTGAACCAGCAAACTCACCTCCCCTCCACCCATCATAAACTAAAAAATCAAACCATCGAACCATACCTTCAATACCTCACACAAACCCTCATCAAAAATAAACACCAAACCCAAAATAAGAATCGTATACCCAAAATAAACAAGTTCCAATCCTTAGCCCCTATCCAACTCCCGCTTCCTAAAAGACCCTTACAAACAACAAATTTTTACATATACGCCATAACGCAGTCGCTTATATTGCATCCAGAAATTTTGCGTGTGCATCGTTTGTCTACGTATCACCCCTTTCGGTTTCCAAATACGCCTGATTGGAAAATTCAAAACCCTAGTGGTGGGACACTAGCGAGCGGATGTGAAATCGTAAGAAAGAAATCATTGCGCTCATGCAAGGCTTGATTTCGTGGAGAAAATATGGCAGAAATAGCTCTGAGGAGTAAGCGCAGCGTTGTCGAACGTCTTGTTTTTTTGTCGGTTTGTTGGTTTTGTTGATTTTTTTTTTTTTTTTAGTTCTTTGGTGTTGGTTTCGTTTTGGAGTGGAGAGAGTGAGGTGTAGGAAAGACATGTCTTGCGTTTTTTTGTGATGGTTGGTATCTTTTCTTGTGTTTTTGGTCTTTGTTGGTCTTGGGATTTAACCACCAAAACGCAGTCAATACGAGAAAAAAAAAGAGAACCGATGGTAAGGCAGTGTGTCATTTTGTCAAAAGACAACTCAAGCGGCCGTGAGATGATAGCTGGATCAAGGTGCCATCTTGTGTTTCGTGGAGTGATGGTGTATGGTTGCCATAGGTAAGAGTGGCACCATACCAAGTGTGTTGTTGGTGGATGGTAGCAGATGCAGCGAGACATCTGTGAAAACGCCTTTGTATGGCAGTGGCTTGGACCTATTACTAATATGCAAGTCCACGGAGGTCGTCAGGATGTTGGTCTGGTTGTCCCATGCTTGCAGTGTAGTCTTGCAATGCCTCAAAGTCATTGAAGCCGCGACTTCCAGTACTATATGCTTCATGTTGTACGCCAGCTTGGATTTGAATGCTACTCTGTCGAGACCTTTGAGAGCTTGAATTGGGAGGGTGAAAGTTTGGGTGTTTATTCCGGTGGTGTTTGAGACGGGCGTCAGTCCGCTGAAACAGTTGACCACAGTATTCGCAAAGAATCTGACGACGGTCTTTTTTGTGCTTATGACGGATATGTCTTGCAAGATTTCCTTTCCCATCCTTGTTTCCTTTAAACTGCGCGTCGCAGTAATGACACTGTAGAGGTTCGGAAGGCATCGAGGTCGTCGAAGCGGAAGGGTGAGAGCGACGATCGCCCGACCTGTTGTCCTTAGTCACGCCATTCTACTGAGCCCAAAGCATTACTTACCGAACAACAGAATCGTTGTTGATCTGGCGGTCATTCGCACTGCTCGGAACACGCTGGTTAGGGTGAACCTGCCTAGAAGCTCTCCGATGATTCGTGTTTTGGGTAGTTCCATGATCGGTTTGTCCGTACACCCTGTTGGGCCTGGTGGGCTGGGCATTCTGAATCGCGTTGTGGATGTCGTGATTGAAGTTGCGTACATGGGATAGGTGATACAGGTCGGGGGGAGCCAAATAAGTGCCTCCGCCTGCATGATTGGGTTGAAATGCACTTGGACCCATTACTGGAAGATGCGGCCTTGGTGATACCATCGAGTTCTGGCTCCCTCTCTGATGGACAGTTGACCAAGGATCATCATCATCATTTCCAAGCCTTCCACGCGTTGGTGCCGAAGATGGCAACACAGACCTTCTGTAAGTCATGCTGTTGGAAGGAGATGACTCGTGTGCACCTTCTGAGTTACCTCCATGAGTGTACATCGCGAACATCATTTCATCAGACATTTGTTCTTGATCTGACATGATATCTGTCGTCATATCGCTTGCAACGTCTCTTCTATTTGCCGTACCGGGACCGTGACGAGGGGGGCCCCAAGGCTGTACATTCTCAGCAAGAGTGGAGCCTGGTCCCAATGGATGTGTTGAGTTGTATTGGCTGGAGATAGGTTTCTGTTTCCGGACAACCTCAGCGTACGTGGGGCGCCTTGTAGCAGGCAAGTGACCTGTTCTCTGTGATTGAGTATCAGGTACTCGTTGACCTGGCTCCTGTTGACGGGGTGGAGTCCGCCTGTAGCTACTCTGAAGGTTGGATAATGATGCCTGATTTTGACAGCCAGCTACAGCATCTGTGTACGAACGAACTGTGCGGTTTTGGGGCAAGAGGTACATGATTGGAGGGCTGTTTGAGCCCCTAGATGGCCGTTGTGGATACATGGCGTGTTGCCGAGCGGGAAAGAGAGAACAATCCTGTCTGGTTATTTCGGCCAGACTCAGATGTCCAAGCGTTCTCAAATCAAGTGTTTGAGGGATAAAGTAAGATCGCTGCCCCTCCTAAGGCACCTTTGTGCGGTTAGAAGATGAAAGCGACCGTAGTATAAGTCGGTGACAGGACGCTAAGACAACGTGGTGTCCAAATGGAAAAGGTTAACGAACGACAAGATTTGCAAACGGAGATGAAATAGAGAAGGTAGAGAGTTTGGTTGACAGGTCGTGTCTGGTGTGGGATGGCGGCGGTTGCGTGGTGATTAAGACGCATGGGAGGACCTTTGGTCCCGCGGTTCTTGGCAGCAATCTTACCAAACACTGACCCGGTGCATAGAATGTGATTTTCGGGGGTTTTTTTAGGAAAAGAATGACGATAGAGTAGAAGTCTCTTATTAAAGGCGGACGAGGCGGTCAATCTTCTACAATGTCCTCTGGTCCAGGGTGGTGGTCAAGGTGAATAGGTGGTTCAGGCGGGCACTCGTTCCGGTCACTAGCCCCAAAGAGGAGGGCAAAGTAACTCCCCAATTCCGCGTCTACTGGCACGTTAGAAAATGTCTCTTAGTATTGAACCATTATTTACAATCGTGATACTAGTGCAGAGCGCGGCATGTCTGCCTTCAGCACAATGATATGAGAACTGACTTCCACTTGCGTTTTGAAGCGCAAGCACTTCGTGATGGTAGTTCCTTGCTATCAGAGATGACGGACAGCCTTGCGCTGGAAGTAGTTTGCCCCCCCTATTTTCTGCGTCATGGTGTCCTTTGCAGTTTCGCTTTACGGCTCCCTCATCTTGCCAGCGCATCTGTCGATCCTCCTTTACACTCCCTTGCGTACTCTTCCGTCATAGCGCCGATAGACTACTGCAGGTAAGATGAAGAATCCCAGACGAAGCTTGAGTTCGTTTCATCTGATGACGTATGTATCGGTCCATTGGCATCTATCGGTTCTGCCTGGCGGGGACGATGTTTATGCTCATCTTCGATGGGTTTGCTTTGGTGCTAACTCGATCCCCCTATGCATAGTATTCTTTGGAACTCAGGCATGGTTGCCCAAATTCCTTCGTTCTATGATCGAGGTGGTGGCGGTACCAATAGTGCATCGTGTTTATAGGTATGCCACACGGGACTTCATCGAGTGGCCTGCAGAAGACGCAGACTTTACAGACGGTATAAGCGGGGGGTGGAGGTTGTTTGCTTAGGCAGTGACCTTTACATGGCGGACATGCTTATTGTAATATCACAACAGCAGAGGGTCTGATTGGGATGATGGCGACGCAGCCGGCATTGTGCTTGAGTAATAATTATATCAACTCAGAGCTCTGTGGGTAGCATTGAGGGTGCCGTACAATGTGTCCAGGCAGTCGGTGTATGACTAGGAAGCCAGCAGTTATTCCAGGTACACAGCTCTTGAAGGGATATGTAGCGTTTTGACGTAGAAAATGAAGATTTGGGGCAGGACTTGTGGTACGATTAAGCGCGTTTTCAAACAGCTAAAGTGCCATCAAGTCTTGTTGCAGTGAAAGCAAGCCTTCTTATCACAATACACAGCGGAGCTCTTGTCTCCAAGCCACAGCATACATGACTCACTCCCTGCCTATTAACTGCCCCCCTTTCTGCAACATGGCGGGGAGGATTACTTCCTAGCTAAGATAGCTTGTAACCTTGGGGGGATGCAATGTGGGACGCCACACCTAGGCGCATCAGGGATGAAGCCGTTCCTACTGTTCCTATGGATAAGTGCCATTGAGGCTCTGCCTACCTGTCAGGCTGGTCATGTCAAAGTGAGTAACCATGCAAGCCTATTCTTGCATCACTCGCGCGCCATTTCTTTTAAATTGATTGGGCTTGCTGTCCTCTCTAGCTTGCGTGGAGGATGATCTCCTGAATCAAGCACGCGTAGTGCTGAACGGAGAATGCACGCATTTGGTCTAGAATTGCTGCATATCCTCTTGAGTACATGCCTTACGGTAATGGTGTGGAAGCCTACAGATATAGCCATGTTGTACGGTCCGCGCTTACATTGGTCACATGGCTATGCTGCATCAAAGCCTTGTAAGCCACTCATCCTTTTCATTATTCACAGCTGAACTGTCGCAAGTTTGGCGCTAATGAAATCTCGTAATCGGGAGCCTCTGAAACCCTAGTTCATGAAAATAGCCAGTAGGTCTAGCGAAATTGAACATCGGGCCATGATGTATTACTATGGATAGAGCGACTGCTCGAAAGACTTGAGACAAAGGTTCTGCGCGATAAGAGCTACGTAACAATAGACTCAGCATTGAACGTGCAAGCCGTCTAAAAGATAGTTCACGGCGGGAACATCGGTTCCCGAAAACGTGGCTGACAACGCCTTCGCTGTTAAAAGACAAGTTTCGCGAATACTACCGATCACAGAGTAAAGACAGCCACAAAATGCGTAATGCGTTCGGCCTGCGCGTGACGACTACGGCCCGTATCTGGCAAAGACGGAAGCGCTATGGTAGTGAACACATATGCCGAGTATGCAGCCTCGCTTGCAATTCCCAAATTCTAAGCGCCTGCTGGATGAAGTGCAGTTTACGACCCCACTTCTCGCACACCCTCTTACTGTACGGCGCTATTTTTCACCACACCAATTCGTCTCAAGCGAGTTCAGCTGCCCAGATTGTGACATGCCCCGGCTTTTTTTGTTGGGCAGGAATGCCGTGCCGAAGTTTCTAGCCAACAGTAGATACGGTTGGAGAGCCGCTGGTCAATCATCCCAAAATTCGGGGCTCACTATAGCCTGGCAAAAGAGGCATATACGTTTCACAGCATTAGCGTACAGTGCAGCATGTCTCGTGCGCGATCAGCGTGCCGTTGCGCGCGGATCCAACCCACCGGCTCTTAACATATCGAAATATGTAACATGGGGGCGAGATGAGATCGGGCTTACCGAACTACTGATACAAGATGGCAGCCTGTTAGCATTGATGCGAACTGCTGCTGTGAAGTCTTACACGGCCGTGGATACGGCGTGAGCTATATGACGGTAGCATAGAGTGAGGCGTAGATTAGTGGTCGTTCAATCGATGTTCCACTTCTGGACCATGATATGGAATGTTAGTGCAAGTTCTATGATAGGGCGAAATGAGTTAGAATAGTTGAAAGTGCTACTGAAAACTCTGGACGGAAAATTTGGGCCAGTGTTGCCCACGGGCACTGGTTCGATGAGAAGAAGGAACAAACTAACATCTCTCAATGACAACATCGAGAGTTTATCCGTGAATACAACCCAAGGAGAGTCATAGAAGCCTGTGTGAGCACTAATGTAATGACACGCTAACGTAAAACGCCCCATCTTACCATTCAGTTTAGTATCTTTTGGACTGCGGCCAATCGAGTGTGGCTTGTGTCCAAGACTGTGAGCCCAACGCCATGCTGATGCTGGCCTTGTCCAAGAAATAAAAAAAATTACGAAAGCCGAGGTGAAATTGATGAGACCAACAGATGTGGTTTGAAAGAATGCCTTACTACTGGAGGGCGCAGTGATAGTGATGTATGTAGGAGTGTATTTTTGTAGTCTAGCGTGCGACTCTCCGCGGTAAGTTTCTAGAATAATTGAACAATGCGCATTGTATTCCTAATACGACCACTAGAAGAGATCAACTCGGCTCACCGGATGGTCTCTGCCGCTGCTGATCGCCATTGTTGACTTCACGGCCTCAAAGCAGTAAGCTGCTGAATCAGTGTGGCTCAGATACAGGTTTAGAATCCTCAAGCGCTCTTGCTGTTTGGAGAATATTTCTGGATACAGAGCAATGCAGCGGTACATTTTCCTTGAAGTGAGTAATCAGAACGAGACAATATCCTCTTTCGGATTGTATCTTAGGCTGAGAAGCCTGTCTTTTTAAGATCATTGACGTAGAGAGTACTGATGGTCAGTAAGCTTTAGACATCATCATGGGGGCGCTTATGGCACGGGAGACCTATGGTAATTATGGTAAATTGACTCAGTGTCGAGGTCCGCGATCTCAGTCGCAAGTAGGCCCGTGGTGTGCCGCACTCTTGCAGGCAACACCGAATCCATATCCTTCCAATGGATATGAATTCGGGGGCGAGAAGAAGAATGACATCTCAAATTGACTTGGCCATTTACAATCTAGAGCTTGTTGGTTCAAAAGGCCATGCTTATCCGCGTTGAGACAACACGCCATCTCAGTCTATCACACTTGTCATCTTCAGGGCTTTGTTTTATCCTGAACTTAATAGGTCTTTACCGATAAACATGGGCTTGTTTCAAGAAATCGGTGGAAGGATGAAGGTTGTTAGCCATAAAGAGATGTGTCGGCGTGATGACCATGAGCGATTAGCATACGACCAGAGAGTGAGTCGAATGCAGAAACATGAATACCCTATGCTTAGAGGTGTGTTAAGTCTCAGACCATATCACGTCAGTTGCTGACACCTAACAGGCTTGACATACCTTGATCATGGCGGAACTACTCTTGCGTCAAGATCATTGATGCAGTCTTTCTGCAGTGAGATGCAGTCGACACTTCTTGCAAATCCACACTCAGACGCCTCTAACCCTAGCAATACTGCCATCATGGTAGAAGAGACAAGGCGTGAGGTATTAAGGATGTTCAACGCGGATCCAGCTCATTTCGATGTTGTATTCACAGCGAATGCAACTGCAGCTACTAAACTGGTTGCAGAGGGTTTCTCTGGATGTAGAGAGAGCTTTGACTACTTCTATCATCGCAACAGTCATACGAGTTTAGTTGGTGTTCGCGAATTGGCTTTTCACAGCCACTGCTTTGCCTCCAATGAAGAGGTAGCTGACTGGCTCGCCAGCACGCGTGATAGCCTCCATGGCCTACAACGGCCAGTATTATTTGCCTATCCAGCACAATCGTAAGTAAATATACCTGCATGAGAAAACTTTTGTACAGTTGCACTGACTTCGATGCCGCATGTAGAAACATGAAT